GGAACACACGTGTACCACACAACACATACAGCACCAACCAGGAACACACGTGTACCACACAACACATACAGCACCAACCAGGAACACACGTGTACTACACAACACATACAGCACCAAGGAGAAACAACCAAGAGTACAAAACTTTGCTTTTGATTTCTCTTCTATGTTTGTCCTTCTCTCCAGAGGGAAGGGGGATGAAGAGGGAGGGAGGGAAGGAAAGAGACAGATTCAGACAGAGCACACCTCTCCTCGCAGGCTTCAAATCATGGCTCAAACACAAGCTAAGCACGCAAGTGAGCTGCTGCTCTTCAGAGCTCTGGGAAAGGACGCATAGTGACAGCTTCCTCAGAGGGCTGGCAGATCTAAGTCAAAGACTCCAGGGACCCAGAGATGGCTCCGTGGGTAAAGGCAACTGCCCCCAAACCTGAAGAGATGACTCTGACTCTGGGACCCACAATGGAAGCGGAGAAGTGCATTTGTGCTCTTGTGTACGTCATATCCCCCCCCCGCCCCCCAATTCAAATATAAAAAAATTTAAGACTGCATTTAAAAATACTTTAGCAGACACTGGGCACAATGGCTCAGGTCTTTAATTCCACCACTCAGAAGACTGAGCGAGGCAGGAGGACGGCCATGAATTCAAAGCCAGCCTAGGCTACATAGTTAAATTCCACCAAACAACAAACCGACCAGTCACTTCAGCCAGGAACTCAGCAGGAGACAGCCGCCTTCCACGGTCCACAGCCACCTTCACAGGTGACAGTTCACCCAGGACAGGTCACACACCCAGACACACGACTGAGTCAGCACTAGTACTGACCATTAAGGTAGCTATGTCATAATCAACAAGGAATCTGGACAAACACGAAGCAACACGCATCTCCCGCCATGTTTGGTACTGAAGGGTATTTTAGTGATATCGATGATCTTGACCCCAAACCAGTTCTATAATCTGTAGGGACTCAAGCAAACTAAAGTGTAAGATGCCCCTTATCCAAAACAGAGATTTTCACAACAGTGATGGCAGAGCATGGGGCCCACACGGCTGCTCTGTCCCTGCCACTCAGCAGCCAAACTTCAAGGCTGCAGTTGGACTGTACAGTGTGACAGTCAAGATGTCCATGCAAAGGTCCTCTCCCTGGAGTAAGAGCTACAATATGAAATGGCCATTGTTACAAGAGCAACATCAAACCTGAGAATCAGCAAGTATGAGCGTTCTTTCTCAGCCTTGAAGTCAAGGGCAGGAAAGACCTGAAGTTTTCTCCCACAAAATCTATTGCAAGATTTTAATTCCGGGCACTGCCAAGCCTCTGATCCCAGCATGTAGGGAGCGGGGATGGGGTGGTATCATTGAGAGGGTTTGAGGCTAGCCTGGGCTACACAGACGACTTGCAGGCTACCTAGAGTTACAGTGACACCCTGTCTCAAAACAAAACTAAAAGCTTTGGATTCCTAAATCGTAATCACAAAGGCCTTTAAGGTCGCCACTGTTAGAGACAGAACTTTCAGTGGAGGCCTTTACCAGAGTCTGCACCTCAGCGCTTGGCCACGCTGAGACCAGGGACCAAGGTGCAGCTCTTACTTTCACAGACAGCTCTTTCTCTTCAATGAGTAGAATGCTGTTTTCCAAACTCAGGGCTGGAAGCCCGTGGGTTGATGATAATGAACCTTTTTATCGTACAGGATTTTAATTCTGCGATGTTTTCTGTACTCCCAACACTGCACAAGCTGAGAACGACAGTCTCCAGCGAACCCAGCACCGAGGACTGGGCCCAGAGCCTTACCAGGCCTTCAGCACTGAGCTACACAACCCAACATCTCTTCCGCATTTTTTTTTTCATTTTTCTTTTGAGACAGAGTCTAACTTGCCCATACTAGCCTTGAACTTGTAATTCTTCTGCCTCAGCTTCCATTATAGGTATGGGCCACTATGCCTAGTCAAAACTGGCTCCTTTTTGAAATGTCCAGGATGAGATTTGGGGAGAGACCTAAGATAAGAAGGTCTCTGAGCTGTGTCTAATAGAAAGAGACTTCTATCAGCAGGTATACTGAGATGGTTGGCAGTGAATCATTCTCTCTGGGGGCATGTGTCATTATCTCTTTAACTCTTAAATAGTTACTGTGTCATCTAATTGAGAACAATGACTCTTACAAAACCGTGTTCTGTCTGGCTATTCCCCCGCCCCACGCTGAGGATGAAACCCAGGGCCTCCCACACAATAGACAAGTGCTGTACCACTGAGCTTTCTTATTTATTTTCAGACAGGCTCTCTCACTAAATTGCCCAGGCTAGCCTCCAAGATTGGAATCTTCCTGCTTCAATCTCGTGGGAGCTGTGGGTTCCTGGTGTACAGCACCACACCTGCCATGGGATCCTGTTTTTAAAATGAAAATAGTGAGTTCTGACTCTTCTCGGGTGCCCATACAACTTAAAACACACATGGCCAGCTGCAAACGAACACTTAGCAGAGCTGTTTAAACAGCAGGCCATGGAGTGTGCCCAGTGTTTACCAACCAGAACCACCAAAGGTTCTTAACAATTACAGAGTCGATGTTAAGTCATTCAAAAGCAGGCCTTGAACACACTGGATAAGAGGAACAGTAACAATCACGCCCGATTTCAGGAGTAATTGCACATCCTTATCGTATTTGCTAATATTTAGTATGGAACTCGAGGGCACCAATACCTACTAAAATTGCTACAGCGCCATTAATGCCATCGTCTCGGGCCAGGTGGTGGCTCAGCATTCAGGAGGCTACCTCCTAAGTAAGGGGCCAGCCTGGGCTACCTAGTGAATTCCAGGCTAAGCAAAGCAACACAGTGAGACCCTGTCTCAAAAAAAAAGGGGGGGGGGAAGGAGGAAAGAAAAACCAAGAAACCCAAACAACAAAATAAGAATATACATACAAGGCAAACGTGCAAACGTTCTCAACCAAGGCACCACTGACATCTGGAGTCACATAAACTCTGTTGTGGGTGGGTGGCTACCTTGAACACTGTAGGGCACAGCGGGGACCCTGGCCTCCACCCAAGTAGATGCTAAGAGCACCCACCTCCCAAGTATAACAACTAAAAATGTCTCCTTGCAGTGCCAAATGATCCCCATTGTCTCCAATTGAGAATCGCTGATTTTTGAGAAATGGCAATATATATAATTTTAAAGAAAAGCACTTCAGAACAGAGAGGGGTCCCAAGGGGTCTGAGCACCAGAGAGTCTCGAACTTTCCATCAGTCGTCCTGGGAAGCTCGTTACATTCTGATTCCTAGGCCCAGCCCCAGAACCATCAATCTAGACGAGTACTGGGTTTTCCCTCATCACCGCCAACATCCTCACCCTATGGGTACGGTAAAGGGACCCCCCCCCGGAACGTAACTGCTTTGCCCAAGGTCACAGGGGAGTTAGAACCGGGCCTCCGAAGCCAACCAAGGTCTTCCCCAGCACAAGGGTGGGTGTGTGTGTTGCTCTTCCGCCTTCAAGGCCATAAAGCTTCAAGGTGCATTCTGAGGCCAGCCAGCCTGAGATAAAAGATCCCGACTTGGTACTCATTAGCCTGGTGGCCTTGCGCAAGGCAAGTAGGCTCCAGGGTCTCTCGGTTTCCTTCCCGGTCAAGTGGAATTACAAGCATTCATTCCTAGCGACACTGGAAAAGGGATCCGGTACCAAAAGCCCTCGGCATAGGGCCCGGTCTACCGGAATCGCTCGATGCGGGTCCTAGCGGGGCCCGCAGAGCTCGAGGGTCGAGCGGGGCTCGGGAGGGGAACCGACCCCCGACTCCGCGCCGCGCACCTCACCTGGTCCCGCAGCTCCTTCTCCAGCTGCCGGTAGTCGTTGTTCCAGACCAGGAGGTGCAGCGGGAAGCGGCCGCTGGCGTCGCGGCCCGAGGACATGGCGAGGAGGCCGAGGCCCGGGCCTGACCGCCCGTCTGCCCGCCTGCCTGCCACCAGCCTCGACCCGACGGGGTCTCTCGGGGGCCCGCCGCCCGACTGGCC